TTTAAAAAATTTAGTGGAAAATTTTGAAGGAGAGTACAGTACGGGAGCTATTTTGAGCAGAGACGAGGATCATCAACTACTGCACCAATTGCAATGTTTCTTACTGGATTCGGTACTTTTGAGCATACGTAAAGATATGCAAAAAGCTACAGCATCAGTTCCGGCACGCCAATCGAATTGGCTCCGGATGCATGTCAGTATGATGATTTTTAGTTATGCTGCTCTATTGTCAGAATCCTTACCATCGATTGCATTGATTGTTTTAGATGCACGGAAAGGCGTGTTTTATCAGACAAAAATGTGGATGGGAAAATAGGCCGATCGATCAGTAGATTATAAGAAAGAAAAAGAGAGAGAGAGAGAGAGAGAGAGAGAGAGAGAGAGAGAGAGAGAGAGAGAGAGAGAGAGAGAGAGAGAGAGAGAGAAGATTGATGACTGTGTCGCTTTGGTGTTAAGTGAGGAATTGTGTGATACAGTGTATCGTCCTCGTAAGCGCAATTCACTCGGAAGCATCTCCTTGATTCGCCACACTCGGTTTTTTCTGCCGGACCTGTTTTCACCCTCTTGTCTCATTTGTGGTCGACTGCTCTCGATACCAAATTAACACCAAATGTGAGCGCATGCGCACACGCTGGCAAAAAGTGCACACAGAAGCTTAGAGAGGAGGGCTGAGTCTTACAGCTCGATTTACAACCAGACGCCCCCGGACATCCGCTCAAGTGCAAGCGGAATCATATGACGCTCCAAAATGCTCGTTTCCGTTGGCAAATAGTTTTTTGTTACATCCCCGGGAACTATAATTTTATGATGGATTGATAAAAGATCAAGGAAAGACCGGGTACCCCGACCAGACCAAGTGTTTGCATCTGTGCTGGACCCTCGTGCACTCTCTTAATTAAGCATTACTCTGCGCCGTGCACTCTCTATAGTCGTTCATACCTTCTGGTTAGACTCTATAGTCCTCCTCTGGGATTAGACAGTGAGGTTGCATAAGAACACACACCTATGTGCCCATCTCCCCCCCCCCTCTTCCTCCTCCACTCTCTATCCCCCGCCCCCCTCCAGCACATACACCCATCCACGCGTCGACCCGCCCACCCATCCATAGCCACACACACACACACACACACTCACGACGCGATCAGGAAAACGTCGAGGATAATTGGTGGATACAGCCCACGCCAAACGTTTTTGGTTGCTCTCGTTGGGAGACATAGCAAGGCGTGTCTGTGATCGATGAGTTCGGTAATACTTGCAGCAGAGCTAAGACAGACGAAAAGTTTTATGTGGCTCTAGAAAAGAGAGCTTTGATGGAGGAACTCCATAGAGCAGATGAAAAAAGGAATATCAAGCTGACCTATGATAGTCCCTCCACCTCTGTAGAGGGACTATGGTAATCAACAAGGCTCCTAATTAGTCTGTGAGCGATGGGTGGGAGGGGGGGCTTGCTGCTTTCCGCCTCAGTTGCTGACGCAATGAAAACAACCATCGCAACGCCATCTCCTCACGCTAGCGCCGTGAGCGAGCGGCGGGATCGTCTTCACCCGAATAGAACTCTCACGGTCCTTATCGCGGTATCTGGGCTAATAACTTCCCCAATCACAGGCGCCGAGCGTTTTATTCGGTTGAAGAAGCAGTTACCACAAATTGCTGGCTCCAAAAAAAAAAGATTGCCTGTTACGCTAATACAGTATGTTTTCTGCTGATTATTAAGGGCCTAGTTGCACGACTCACCATCTGCCAAAATTCTGAATGAATCTGTGTGGTGTTATGCGTTCAAAACGTTGGTGGCTGGCGAGTAGTGCAACTAGGCCCAGTAGCCAGAAAGAGTCCAGCATGCACAACAAGCTCAGACAGATAGATGGCATGAGAGGACTTACAGTATGTTTCTCCCGTCTCCACACTGTTCTAATAAAGCATCTAAAGCATCTGCGTGACTCTGCTACGATGGCTTAAAGAAGGGGTAACTCCAGTACAGTCACAAAAACAGTTTGAAACTGTTTTTTGCCCAAAGTGTAATTTCGAAACTCTTTTCGTGACTCCCGCGTAGGTCCCCCCTTGAAGAAACTGGTAACTGACACAAAGTCGTTCTCAACAGAGAATCAGAGAGAATAGACGTCTCTCACCCAGTGGTCGGAAAAGCCCGTGGGGGGGGGGGTGTTTACCTGCTGTCATCCGAGCGGCAGGCGGGTGGAACAGGAATTCTGTGAAGAAGGACGAATCTCAGCATGGAACAATCCTCGCCCAAAGTGTATCGTACTGAATATTTGCTGGATTTGAACGAATGAATTAGATGTGTTTACTTCCGCAAGCAATTGTGCAATTTGCAGACATGGCGCCCTACACATGTTTTAGACTGAAACACCATGATATTTTTTAACCACTCAACCACATGGGTATGGTTACGGTCCGATTTCATTTCTTCCGCGTTTTAGTTTCTCGTATGTGCTGTCTTTGGCGGGTTTGGGGGTTGTGTGTTGCAAGCAAAAGAAGTGCTTTTGCAAGCTTAGGAGGACGACCACAACAATAGCGAAAGGGAATATAGCGAGAGCGAGGATGTGGGGGGAGGGGGGGGGGAAAGAGAAAGAGAAACGGTACAGACTGAAGGAGGACGAGAAGATGAAGGGGAAAGAGGAGCAAGAGTAGGAGATGCAGCATGAGCAGCGGCAGCAGCAGGAGGAGGAGGACGAGAAGAAGAAGAAGAAGAAGAAGAAGAAGAAGAAGAAGAAGAAGAAGAAGAAGAACCATTACTAGAGAGAAGCTTGGCTGTCCGGCTCTCTTCGAGAGAAAATAGTCTGCTCTAAACCGCGTAGAAATCGATAAGAATAATCATACATCATAAAGTTGAGATAGATGAAGGCTTATCACGCATAGAGAAACACTCAAAAACAGAGAGACGGTGGAAAACGTGGCAAGGAGGATGTAGAAACACACAAAGAGACGAGAAACGCATGCCCACAGAGAGAGAGAGAGAGAGATTGAGAGAGAGAGAGAGAGAGAGAGAGAGAGAGAGAGAGAGAGAGAGAGAGAGAGAGAGAGAGAGAAAGAAGTTGAGGACTCAGTCGCCTGGAAGAGGGATAACGAAAATTTCCATCTTTTTCGAAATCGAAAATTCGGCCTTAATTATGACAGCGGTTTCGAAACGACTCGATGAGGAAAAAAGCTCACCGCAGAGTCCGAAAATCGTCAGTCAAAAAATAATAATTAAAAAAGAATCCTCTGTCACATACCTCGCTACCCACAAGCGTCCGAGAATCCTTACTCACAGCAACTGCGAGTCACTGGCGCAAAAAAAGCTGGAACGTCAATCTCGACATTTAGCAGATCAGCCAGACGTCTAGGACAGTCTACGTCAGGACTAAGGAGGCGATGATTAATCTAACGGGGTCCCACCACACCATTGTATCTATCTATTTATCTATCACCGCTCTTCCTCAGAAGAGCTACTGTCCTCGACGATCTCAGACAGGAGCTGGTGAACTAAGAGCAAAGCGACAACGTAACGCTTGTTCGCCTGGGCGGAATAAGTGTAATTTCAAACAACAAGAGGTCCGACGATCGAACCCCGTCGGATGGAGTGAAAAACGAGCGCTAGTACATACAACGTAGTTCTACTCCCAAATTTTGACAATACAGCCAAAACACCGAGTTCGCCGTCGAAAGCTCAGCGGAGCTGAAGCAGAGCATGCGGCCCGAACAGACTCCTTGATTGTCTAAGCTTTGCACGTGTCTCGACAGCATGCGTMKCTCAGGAGCACGCCTCCCATTTCACCTTGAAGGACACGGTGGTGTCTACCGTGTCCACATCGATGAATCCTTGCCCCGACGGGTTAGCTCCGTTGTCGACTTTCACCTCCATATTGACGTTGAGATTTCGGTTCAGGCCGCACTTGCTCGAGATAAGTGGGGAGAACGGACCCGAATGCTCGTAGTTGTCGTCGTACTCGCCCACCGTCTCCTTGGTGAACTTTCCTTGCCCCGGCTCTCCCGTGAAATAATARCTCACCCTGTGGACCCCCTTCACCATGTCGTCAAGCCTCGCGTACCCCCGGAGCGTGACCGTCTCCAGGGAATAAATCCAGCCAGAGGGATACGTCATCTTGATGTTGATCTGGCAGTTCCTCCGTTTCCCCGCAATGCCTGCGTCCGTCGTTGCGCTGAACTCGCTGAACTTCATGGTAAGTACTTGCCCGTCCTTGCTGATCTCCCCAACGGCGGAATTCGCTGGACATCCGGAGCCCATGTATGTGAAGGACGTGATTGCAGCCTCTGGCTGAGCTGCTGCCCGTGCTGTAMTACCGAGAAGCACAATGACCGCGCCCAAGAGGAAGGCCGCCATCGCTCTCGTCGGCGCAGCCATCGCCGTGATCCTCGCTCTACTAGTCCTCGTCTCTCTCGTCTTCCTCCCACTTCACCCTCCTTAGCCTTCGTGGCTTTGCTCCGCTCGGCTTCGCTTCACGACGCTCCCACTGCTCCTCCACTACCCTAACGCATGCAATGAAACCTCCCGCCTGATGCTACCAAGCACGGCACCTTTCCTGCGCGACATGTGCCGAGTTCGGGGTCTAATAGCCGCAGACCTTATGGCGAACCGACTGGCAAAACCAACCTCGGTGAGTGCGTTCGAGATGCGTGAGCCGTTTTATACTTATCCGCGTTGTTTTCTATCGGCCTGAGGGCCTTGTTGCACTGCCCGTCATCGGCCAACAGTTTGAATGCATTTTTACAGACTGGCTGTCCGGATGGATTCAACATCTTGGCGGATGGCGGATGGCGGATGGCGGTAGCACAGGGCCGAGAACTTGTACGCTCAGCACGTTACCATTGCCTAGGGCCAGATGTCAGACACAAAGTGCGCTTCCTTTTTTATCCTTTTTTTTTTTTTTTTTTTTTTGGTTTTTGGCCTTGAGGTATTATCGACAAACCAGCCCGAGTAAACTCAGTGTTGTGACTAATCTGACATCGGGTGGCCTTTTCAGCCCAGGGTGGCCTTGATTGCCTTCAGGGAACCCCCAATTGGGGACACCAGCCAGGGGACAGCCGGTAGCAGAGGGACCGAGCATCATCGGAGTGGCCAGTGGCTGTGCCTCCCCGATTACCCCTCCCCCTATGAAGATCAGCAGAGACTGCTTTTTAATGCCAACTGGGGGGTGGAGGGGGCCAAGCATGCCCAGGAAGGTACAAGAGGCCGATGGGGATTGAACCCAAGACCTCCTGAATGCCACTTGCGTGCCTTACCAACTGAGCTTGGCCGCTGGAATTTATTTTTTTCTGTGGCCCTATGGCCCACAAATCAGATATTGGGCCTGGCCACACCACTCTTGAAACGGGGAAATTTTCAAGAGCTGTCAGACGTTCTCAAGTGTTGGGTTTTCATGAGTTTTTGGCCCCTCGCCACACAGCACTCTCGAAAGGGCTATGTTTTTCTCGAATGGAGTCAGGATAATGGCCTGACAACCCTTGAAAATAGATAGTCCCTCAAGGGGTAGGCCAATGAAAACGCACCAAAGGGGTTTCCAATCTTTCAGGAGCTGCTCGTGGAAGGGTTTCAAGAACCACTCCTACTGATCTTGACTGCCCCAAGTCTCAAGAAGCTGTGTGGCACTGCAGCAACTCTTGAAAATGAGTTTCCAAGAGTGGTGTGGCTAGGCCCGAAACAGGGAAATGCTTCAAGAGCTGGCAGACAATTTCAAGAGTTGCATTTTCGAGAGTTTTGGGCACATCGCCAATCCACACAGCACTCTCGAAACAGGTACCGTGAAAAAAAACAAAGGATGCCAGAAGACAGTCGTACATCTTTGTTTTTCTTGTATGGCGTCAGCATAACGGCCCCACAACTCTTGAAAATAGAAAGTCCCTCAACGGTTCAGCGAAGGACGCATGGAAAAACACGAGTTGCAGGCTGGGGTCCTGTGATTCGTGGACGGAGCAACTCTGCTGACCAGCCCGTGGAATTCAGATGCGAAGAGTCTGCTCTTCCAGCCTTTGCCGACTGGAGAACGTCATGTGCCAGTTGATGTAGCTCAGCGTAGCTCAGTGGTTAGAGCACCGGTTGGAAATGTGCATTGTGGTATGAGGTTGCGGGTTTAAAACTCCCCAGCCTTGCGCATGGACACCGGCAGGGCGTTAGAATGACGCACGGCTGGACACACACTCCCCTGGGCTGACACAGGTAAGTTATTACAGACATGCTTCGATCAGGGCTGAGTGGGGTGTGTGGGACTCAGCTTACCTACAACCACTGTGACGCGCAACCTCACGCCCTGTGCTGTCTTTCGTTCGGAGTGTGAGACGTGCGGAAAGAGGCCCAAAAAAACAGCAAGATGGGGTGTGCCAAGGATTTTTGGAAATCGAGTGTGGGGACACATATGGAACTGAAATCCCCCGTGATGGTCCGATTAAACAAGTCGATTAGTTTCGCGTGTCGCGGAATGCGCCCGCGGACATGGCACGAAAACAGAAAGATCCAAATTCAATCCAGAAAGTACTGTCGGGCTTCCCACCGGGCTACAGCCGGTCGTTTAGAACGGAAAGGCTCTGGCACGCTTCGCGTGTCTCGTTTTCGTATCACATCTCGTCGGCGTTCGCTGGTCAGTTCCGAATCCGACGTGGATGGTCTCAGTCGAGTGGCTCTTTCCTTATGCTCGTCCTCACTCCGTATTCGGTAGTGGAAGCCCTTCGCTTCGTAGCGATCGAAACGCTGGCACTTCGTGCACAGAGTGCGGGGCCAATGGGGCGCCACTGTCGTCCACGGAATGACGATCAACTCGTTAAACGACAACAATATCGAGTAGGGTGGAAAGTGCGTATCGATAATGACAAATCCGGCGTCTACGAACCCAGAACAACGGTTGGCCGGAGGGAAGTAATACTGCCCGCCGATTTGTGCGACGGCTTCTCGTACGTCCCACTCATATACACGTGTCATTTCCTCACTGTAGGGAAAAGGTCGCGTTGGGATGGGAGATACGGGAGGCTGACGCCCAATCGAAGGGTGTTTGTCAATCCACATATCAATCAATCACATATATCCAGAGACGTCATAAAGAACAAAAATCATTCATGCGACCCTCAATCTATCCTTCTTGACACACGAGGGAGCAAACACACATCAGCTTGATCATGCATAGGGCAAAGGGACCGACCCGCGACTCAGTTCAACACAACGTTGGTTTCCGGTGCCTTGTTTCTCAAGGTCGCCTGGTGGCGTGGCTGCTGATGTCGTGCCGCATAAGGCTAATGGCATGCGCAGTGCATTTGGGACAAAAGATCTAAACACTCTTGTATTCTCGAACAAAATCCCGACGACACTCGTTTAATCAATCAGAAAAGTTACGCATCTCTATACATGCACTCACTGTGGAAGGTGCGAAAATCAGACATTCACAGGAAAAGATGGATCGCATTGCACAGTACACACGCATCCACCGTTCACAAGACAAGTAGACGGGGTCCTTGCGTAGGAGGATTACCCAGGAAACTAATGGAAGAGTTCCGAAAGAAGTTCTTTCACACAGAAACAGGATGCCGACTCATTCCCATTCAAGAGAGGGACAATCCTTCAGACGCATCGTCTTTCGAGAAGAAAGAGAGAGAGAGAGGGAGAGAGTCGAGGGAAAGAAAGTCCAAAATAGAAGATGACAAGATCCAGGTAAAAAAAAGTTCGGCGTCACCACCGTACACTCACGCCAAAGATAACAATCCGCAACAAAGGCGCATTCGCCGTTAATTCCAATATGGCCCTCGGCCAATCAACTCAATATCGATCCTCATACCCGCACCGACGATCCCGGTCGTCGCGTGCTAACTCCCACCACTGCGATCGTCACCCCGCTGTCGTAAACTCGACACAATTCACCCAGATCCCACAGTCCGTCATGGCGATCCAGCGCGCAACCGGCCAGTTTATCGTCAGCCTGACAGGACTTTCCGAATCGCTTCAAACACTCTGCCTAGCCACTGCTTCCCGGAAGCCGGCTTGAGAGTCGAGAACGTAAGAGAGATTTGCGGACGCGCTTGCGGGTTTTATAGTTGCGACAGGGGAGATAGAAGGGGGAGAAGGCGACAGGAGAGTTGAGGTGTAAGAGGAGAAGCAGGAGGAGAAGATTTTGAGAAGAGTGCTCTACGAACGCCATGCTGATCCCTCGGAACATCAAGGTTCAACCAATCAGATTCGTCGCGCGATAGGAAGGTCCTATCGATCTACGCACGTGATTGGCGAGCGGGAGTTATCGGAAGATCGACCGGGCATCGTACGCCAGACGTAGGGGGTGAGAAGAGAAAAGGTGCGAGAGGTGGCGCAAGACGGGTCCAAGATTCAGATGATCAAGATAGGGAAATGGGCGCGCGAAAGCAAGGCGGGAGAGAGAGAGCGGGAGAAGGAAAAACACTTACGGGGAGAGAGAAAAAGGAGGGAGAAGGGAAGGGAGGCGCGGGAGGGAGCGATGCGGGGGACAAAGAGGAGGAAGCTTTTGCATGCACGGCGCCGTCAACAAAAAAAAGAAAAAGGCACCAAAACAGTTACAGCTTGCTTCTATTCCTAATTCAAAAATTGAAATCACCATATCCGCGTGCAAAAAAGCGACGCGGGAAAAGAAAATCCTATGCCTATTCGTATTCATGCAAAATTCTGAGAGTTTTCCCCGACGCGCCCAAGAACATTCACACACCCAAAAAGGACACATCGAAGTTCCGCTTATCCCGGAATTCCCAACTACCGAGCCCAATTCCTAGTGCGCTCGCTAAGGCGCACGTAAATTCCCATGTATTTTCCGGCTTTGGAAGAATAAAAACAGAACTTAGCAGCCGAAAGAGTTCTCAAAAACGAAAATGTGGCACCCGAAAGCAAGAACTAAAAATGGGGTTTTCCAGGGGTTGGTATTATACAAGCAAAAGAAAGGGTACGAAAGATGGCATGGGGTCGGGAAGTGGTTCGTCACATATATGATGCGCAGAGGGTTCCAAAATTTTTCGATCTCCTAATTGCATGGAATGGCGAAAAAAAGAGGGGAGAACAGAGTGATGCATGAGGAACCAAGCGTATCAACAGCGCAAATGAAGTACAAGGAACGATAACTGGGTCGCGGATGAGATGGCGACAACCTCCGTGGCAAGATCTATGTAACCCCGTCACATGCAACCCTCTGCCTCGTGGAGATCGTCCAGGTGACGCCATCATGGTCCGCCTGATCTCCGTGTGCTCTGCACCCTTGCTCGTTGCCGTCTGTCGAATCAGCGCGTAGGTTGACGTCATCGTTGATGGCGTGATCTTCGCGAAGCTTACCGATTCATGCCGGTGAAGGGAGGAGAGAAAGAAGGGGGGGGGGGGGTTGAAGTGAATGGGATCTACCACCTAGTTGGAATAGGCCTGTAGAGGCGGGACATGCCGGGGATCTCGCGGGGATGACGGGGGGGGAGTGGGGGTAGGAAGCGATTCATCCCTTCCATCGTCACCGGGAGCTCCTCGTATCGGATGATCCGATGGAAGCGGGGGAAATGATCACCGCTACGGGGGAGGGAAGCGAGGTAATCGCGATAGAGGGAGAAGAAGGTGCGGAAAAGCGCCGCTCGAAAGATCTCGAAGTGGCGACAGGCGGGGATTGTCCCCGTGGCAACGCAGTA